GACACACACTACCAGCTACAGACACACACTACCAGCTACAGACACACACTACCAGCTACAGACACACACTACCAGTTACAGACACACCCTACCAGCTACAGACACACTACCAGCACAGACTCACCCTACCAGCTACAGACACACACTACCAGCTACAGACACACACTACCAGTTACAGACACACCCTACCAGCTACAGACACACACTACCAGCACATACACACACTACCAGTTACAGACACACTACCAGCACAGACACACCCTACCAGCTACAGACACACACTACCAGCTACAGACACACACTACCAGTTACAGACACACACTACCAGCACAGACACACACTACCAGTTACAGACACACACTACCAGCTACAGACACACACTACCAGCTACAGACACACACTACCAGCACAGACACACACTACCAGCTACAGACACACACTACCTGTGCATGACAAACATAAAAAGTAACTCAACTCTGCACACTGTTGACACAAATTCATTGCATGTTACAACCGACAAAACCAATATTAAGCAAGTAGATAACTGTCAACGTTTTACAAACTTATATGATTGAACTAGAAACAGAACAACCAGGAGCGCTGAGGGGAGACAACAGAAGAAGCAGGGCCATCGGGCGGAGGAGGTGGAGCCTCCATCATCTCATTGTCTCGTATTAATCAGCTACCTCACTGGAAAACTACAGTTGAAATATCTATAAACACCAAATCCTCAAAGTGTTTTGACTTGGTCCACTGAAGAATTTTAAAACAGACCTCAGATATAATGATAATATTATCGAAATTTAAATTTGAAAGCACAAAGAGCATATGGTTTATGAAGACTATGCATTGAGCTGCGTTCTTGACACCGTAATAATTATACAATAGCTCTTCTAATTGTAAATGTAATCTTAGCTTATGATGCGTAATTGCTTCAGGGATTCATTTATATATTATCTGAATTACTGCCAATTTGCATTCAGTATGAATAACACTCATTATGAATTTGTCTATTATACACATAATTCAATGCGATGGCCTATAACTACACTGTTAAGAAGATACTTTATGAAATCTCAGCCCTTCACTGGCTCTCCGTTTGACTCCATTCAAAATGTATTACCGCACATAACCTCGATTCATTCTCAGACACAAGTTCACTTTGCTCTCTGTGAAGCTGCAGTTAGTTGAACACAGTAAAGTAACTCTGTTTTTGTTCTTCAGTGCTGAGGCTTTAATGTTTGCTAACACCTCCCACCTCTCTCTCTGTCTCTGCAGGAGGATCCTTTCGTCATGGTGGCAGAGAACATCCTCGGGCAGCCCAAGAGATATAAAGGCTTCTCCATCGACGTCCTGGATGCCCTCGCCAAAATTCTGGGCTTCAAATATGAGATCTACCAGGTGGGACTGAGTTTAGTTCAGGTGTCAACATCTAATGCACACAGTCCAGATGAATAAAGGAACTCCGTCCTGATTTAGGTTTAACAGGCTTTTGTGGATGATGATGAGATTGGTTTGTCACTTTTGAAGCATCAGACTGCGCGTGTGAACACACGTGTGACGCTACATTATAAATGTTTAAAGAAGTGCAGAGACATCTCATCAAATCACATCATCCTTCTGCACGGCTCTCATGTGCTCATAACCTTGTGATCATAGTGTTAAAACATGTTGTTTTTTACTTTATTCAAACCATGGATGGATGACTGTATGAGCCTTACGGGCCCAGGGCTCCAGAGTGTCGTTGCCCTCCTGGCCTTCACCTACAAAATGTCAACTCAAAGAGACACTTACCAACCAGGAAGCCCCTCAAAATGACCAAAAAGAGTTAAAATTACTATGAAAGGCGACCGAAGAACTACAATGAGACACAAAGCAACTGTGAAGAGAAACAAAAAATCAACATTTAGACCAAAACAGCTGCAAAGAGACACAAAGAGACTCACAATGACCATGAAACGGAGAAAAAAAAAACTACAATGAGAGTCAAAACGACTACAAAGAGACACAAAACAAATACAAAGACACACAAAACAACAGCAACTATGAAAAAGTGGAAGATAGAGACTCCAAATCTACCAGGAGACAGTATTTGGTGGGTCGTAGCTGCAGTCACATTGTGAGAATTTGCTTTCTTACACCGTCTTTGGTGTCCAAAGCTTATAAGTGGCTGTTGATGGATGAGTGTCACATTGATACTAAACCACATGTTGTATCGATGACTCCAGCCGTGTTGAAGCCTGAGTATTGGATGAATAACTACAGCTTTCATTGTATTTGCTCATGAGGTTGAGCCTTGTTTTAGGTGGTAGCTTTCTGAGCTGGTGACTTGAACTCAATAAACTTACGAATCTCTCCTCCAGGTGGCAGACAGTAAATATGGATCTCAGCTTCCCAACGGCTCGTGGAACGGCATGATCGGTGATCTCATCAACAAGGTAAAGCTGGAATGCAACTGGCGGAGGAGATAAAGGGTCATATGGTTCACTAGAAACTGACTGTTTGAGCTTTAAGCTAACACAGGGTCATATTTTGTCCCTGCTGGCCACCGAAACATGAATACTTGTTACTGATTGGCTGAACACCACCTCCTCCTCCAGAGAGCCGACCTGGCGGTGTCGGCCATCACCATCACACCAGAGAGGGAGAACGTGGTCGACTTCAGCAAGCGTTACCTGGACTACAGCGTCGGTATCCTGCTGCGAAAACCTGAAGAAAAGATCAACATCTTCTCTCTGTTTGCACCCTTTGACCTCGCCGTCTGGGCCTGCATCGCTGCCGCCATCCCCGTGGTGGGAGTGCTCATCTTCCTGCTCAACAGGCTGCAGGCTCTGCGCTCCTCCTCTACCCAGAATGCACCGCCAGGCCAGCCCCACAACGGCGGCGTGGGGTCGGGCTCCCTGCACAGTGCCATCTGGATTGTCTACGGAGCGTTCGTTCATCAAGGTGAGAGGAAAGACGCAAGTGAACTCAGACGATTACAATCATTTGTTTCCATTTCTGATTCAACATCAGTATGTCGAACAATCTCAACACAGTGTTCCATGAAAACTTTGTGTCTTTGCATCAACTTGGTATATTATTGCTTCACGTTTGGTGTAACCGCCCCATCACAGGTTTAAAAATACTGAACCTTTCCCTGCTTACTACTTTACACTACTTTACACTACTTTACGTCACTTTTAAAGCTGGGCTGCATTAGCATTTCAATTTAAAAAATCTATAAATTTGAATTGTATTTGAAAGAAAAAATCTGTGGAAATTTTTGCATCGACTAACTTTGATGAACTTTGACCAACAAGTTTGCACAGTTGACCAAACAAAAATGTTATGAATGCTAATGTTGCTCTGCACCTAATAGACATGAACATCGGCGACTGCTTGCTTACATGTTAGTAGTTAAATAGGTTAAAAAGTCAGACAATCTTTAACGTTTCCTGATGAACACAGTTCAGATCAGCTACGTGTCTCATTGTGCTGATTTTTTAAAATGTTCTCACGGTGTAGCAGCTCAGTGTTTGGCTGAAACCAATCAGGGCTGATCACAGCAAAAGGAAGATTATCTGCCTTGTAAAGACGGATTTCAATTTGATTTCGTGGGAGGGGAGGGTTTAATTTGGAGCGGTTACACGGATTACACAGCAACAGAAGAGGGGAAACAATAATCACGGGAGGATTTGTATAGCGTCTGAAATATTTAGCAGAGAAGCAGAAACAAGGACATCAAACTTGAGAGTGCTTAAATGAATCAGAGGGAGGCTTATATTACACAGAGCTCCAGGAAATGTAACAGTGATGTAATAAACGTAGGTTTTCTGTGTGTGGGAAGGTTTGTGGATCCACTTTGTTCAACCCCGTCTCTTGTAAAACACTACCTTCCAATGCAACTAAACTGCATCCTCAACTACGTTTCGAGGGAAACATATTTTCTCCAGGATTGCAGTCGAAGTTTTAAACATGTGGTTGACGTAAATTCATAATTCACAATGCAGTTTCGTTGTATGAGGATGTTGTTTTTAGGAGACAGAGCTGCTTTGTTGCAGTTGAAACTCTTGATAAATGCAACACAAACAGTAAAACGTTTCAGGATTAAACTTTGAGGAGTGATGGCCAGTTATGAAGCTGACTCTCATATTGTGCTTCTGTACTTGTGAGGACCTTCACTGACTTAATAAATATTCTCTAACAACTAACCTCGTCCTAAAATATTATTCTAGTCCAAACACTGAAATAAGGCCAAACCAATTTCCAAACAATAACCTTTCTCTCCTCTAAAGTTCTCCTCATCTTTAAAATGTCTTTAAAATGTCAACAATTTGCCTGAAAAATCTTTTCCATAAAATGTTATTTCTTCTTTTCCAAAATAATCTCAGTTACCAAAAAATGTCCTAACCTTCCAGAAGGGTCTCGCTTTCCAAAAAAAAAAAATGTCTCACCCTACAAAAGGTCTCACTTACCAAAAAAACGTAAATATCTGTACGTCCTCACCAGGACTTCCAAAATGTCCTCCTGCAGGTCCTTCCATCGTCATCAGCAGATTGCTGGAGAAATCTCTCAGTTGACGAAGAACAAGTTGACTATGATTGATACTGTCCTCACTTCCTAACATGTCCTCACCAAATAAAACTAGCCTCATTTTTCAAAAGAAATGTCATTAGTTTCCCAAAATGTCCTCCCTTTTTAAAAGTGTCCTTAATCTCAAGGCCTACAACTCGACTCTGTCCTCTAAAAGGTAGAAGAAGAAGAACACACACACACACACTTTCCCAGCAGAGGCACCCAGCTGCATCTATTATGGTCTGGCTGGTTGCCTGGGAAACCTTTTAGGCCTAACGGGGTTGTGATTAGATGCAGCAGCTCCGCTCGCTGTGATAAAGCAGCGCTCCCTCTCTCCTGCTGTTTGAATCCTGGTCACCTGTAACTGAGAGGTCACAGGTTTGAATCCCCACTGCGTGAGTCCTCTTAAACACCTGAGTGTTCTGAACCTGGACTTTCAACACGCAGCAGCTCTCAGATCAGTTAAAAAATCTGTGATTAATGACCTGGATGTAGTAGTCGTCTGTGTGTTTGTGTGTGTGTGTGTGTGTGTGTGTGTGTGTGTGTGTGTACATGTTGAGGAAACATTGAACAATCTGTTATTTATACCAAACAAGATCAAAATAGTTGTTTTCTGAAGATTATGTCCACTTTATTTGACCGGACAAGAGGGAGCATATTGGTAGAGCAGATTGTTCTTGATAACAAAGAATGAATCAATATCTTTATTCTGACCTCACTGTATTCATGAATTAGTTTAAAAACACAAAGTCTAGTCGTTGCACGATTCAAACCCGGCCTACGATTGAGATTTTCTTTCCTTAAACACAAAATAAATTATATTCTACAGGATGAAGGGAGCTCTCTTTGAAATGCCTACTTCAATATTCCATACGGTTCATAAAAATTACCAACAATAACACAGAAGAATATGAATTCCCCTAAAAGGAAATTAAAACAAACACACTGTTGTGATCAATCTTTAAAATGTTACTTCAAGAATATATTTTATATAATGAAAGATAAAGTTAATTTTCTTGCTAATACTGCAGCTCTTGATATTCCTGCATGCAGCCAAGACCAGAAACATAATTTTCTTTTCTATTTTTTATGTTTTTTGAAACGACCAGAAACAGACGTCCTCTCTTGGTTGAAAGTCCACTCTCGGTAATGTAGGACTGTATGTGTGTGTGTAGGTGGGGAAGGCGTGGTCGGCTCGGCGGCCCTGAGGATCGTCATGGGCAGCTGGTGGCTCTTCACGCTCATCGTGTGTTCGTCCTACACCGCCAACCTGGCAGCGTACCTCACCGTGTCACGCATGGACCACGCCATACGGTGAGACACACACACACACACACACGTGCACACACACATAAAGATCTCTGATGGGCATCTAAGAAAACATCAATGAATCAGTTTAGAAATGATGTAAAATTGTGTTTCTGATAAAGTCTGATCACGCTGATGCTTTCTTGTTGACATGAAACAAAAGGTTCCCGGCTGGAATCGAACCGGTGACGTTGTGGTTACGTGGCAGCATGAATGTTTGCAGATACGTTCATAACAACTGTTTCTTTATTCATTTCTTTGGTGTTTTATAAAAAGCATAATGACATTCCTTCAAAGCTGAGGTCGCCAAACTACAACTGTTTTAACTAGAATATAATGTGAAACGCTGTATCTAAGTTCCACATCTTAGTTCAAACGTTAAAATTTAGTGAAATTGTCTCCGTCTTAAATTCTTGGTACAAAAAACTATATTTTTACCATTTCTTCCCTTTTCTGTTTGTTACATTTCTTTATATCTTAATCTTTTTCATGAGTCCATGAACAGAATCCAATCTGTGCCTGTTTTAATTAACTTATTTACAGATTTACACATAACATTATAATATTATGAGTTAACACTGAGGCCATGCACTCTATTAGAGTTTAAGAGGATTGAATTCATTTATATTAAATTAAAGATAAACATAAATACTTTGTATTGATTTAAGTGGACTGCAGCTGTGTGTGCAGCACTATGGCCTAAACAAAAGGTCCTCCTTGGGGGACGATAAAGTAAATCTTATCTCATCTTGTACTACGTGGGCGCACTATTACACTTCTGTAATGTTAAATGTTAAACAGTTTAGGAGCGTTGTGTATTTATTGTGATAGAACAATCATTTTCTGTGGCACATGGGCCGTTCTGGTCTAGAAACACAGATGTTCTTGCAGTATAACTGGTTGAAATCAACATATTTTAATAATTTGTGCTGCGTATGGCCCACAATCATAAAGGTGTAAAGCGTATTTGTGGTTGCAGATTAGTAACATAGATTATAAAGTCATATAGGATTAGATTACGATCCAGTTAAGCGACTCAACTCAACATGGCGTTCATTCAACTCATTCAACCTTTAACAGTTTTTCACACATTTGGCTGATTATTAATCTGAAAGAGGCCCCTCCCCCTAAAAAGATGGATGCCCTCAAATCACCTCAAGAGAAAAGCTGCACATTGTCTGTAACACAAGAAACCCTCGAGTGGCGTCTGTGAAGTGGAAGAAGTTGAGCTGATGCAGTTATACATTTAGAGGGTGGACAGATTAGCTTAAAAAATAATACTAAAAAAAAGCCCTCAGCATGAATATTTCTCCACAAAGAATTGACACCGAAAACTTCTGAGTTCAAGTGTTTAATGCAAACTGAGTCTTTCTCACATTTAACCTCCTGCTGTTAGCGGAGAACACACTGACCTTAACTCTCAGAACAACGAGGGAAGTTTAGCTGTGGTCCAAAGTTTAAACATGATTTGATATCTACAGCCTCATATATTTTGATGTACTCGTGAATAAATGTATATAAACGTAGTAGGATTTTTGTGTCTCTGGAGGATAAAACCTTTGTTTCCAAAGAACCAAATGTGCGTTAATCCGCCGCTGAAGACAGTCGTTAAGACGAGAATGAACAACAATCAGCAGCTTTCATCACAGTGAACCTCTTGACCCTCTTCAGCTGGACAGTCATTTGATGTTCCAGCTCACGGTGATGAACACAGACCTCCAGCTGTGAGTCCTGTTTGACTGGATGTAAAGATGTAGTTTAAAGATAACAACCTGGAAAACAAGAACACTTTGTCAAAGTTTTTTTGATAAAAGCTTGTAGAAATATTTATGATCTGCCTGCAGACACGTCGTCTGTCTGTCCGTCTCTCTGTCTGTCTGTCTGTCTCTCAGTCCGTCTCTCTGTCTGTCTGTCTGTCTCTCAGTCTGTCTGTCTGTCTCTCAGTCCGTCTCTCTGTCTGTCTGTCTGTCTCTCAGTCTGTCTGTCTGTCTGTCCGTCTCTCTGTCTGTCTGTCCGTCTGTCTCTCAGTCTCTCTGTCTGTCCGTCTGTCTGTCTCTCTGTCCATATGTCTGTCTGTCTGTCTCTCTCTCAGTATGTCTCTCTGTCTGTCCGTCTCTGTCTCTCTGTCCATATGTCTGTCCGTCTCTCTGTCTCTCAGTCTCTCTGTCTGTCTGTCTGTCTGTCTGTCCGTCTGTCTGTCTCTCAGTCTGTCTCTCTGTCTGTCCGTCTCTGTCTCTCTGTCCATATGTCTGTCCGTCTCTCTGTCTGTCTGTCTCTCAGTCTGTCTCTCTGTCTCTCTGTCTGTCCATTTCTGTCTCTCTGTCCATATGTCTGTCTGTCTCTGTCTCTCTGTCCATCCGTCTGTCTCACAGGTTGCATTAGGTGAATCCTTGTTCACACAGTCAGATTGATCTTTGCATCATTTCCTTATTAAACTGATCATAGATCAGATTAATGTTGATGTTGGGAAACATTTACTCCAGAGTGTCCTCACTGTGAACAGATCAACGTATTGACCACAGATGTTTTATTAAACTGTGTGTTGGAGTTTGATCCTAACGAGCACAACACCATCAACTCCGATCGACGTTCGGCAACATTTCGTTTCTCACCTTTTTACTTTATTCTCAATCCCAGCTGTTGAAAATACCTTTTTTTAAATTATTTGTAATGAAACAAACACATGAGTTTCACCCAGGAGACCAGCGTTTGTGTTGTTGAGTTACTGTGACGTTACATTAGTCACGTTTATGACGTCTTTTCTGTACTCACGTTAAGTTCTTTACGTGCTTATTTGAAGCCCAACTATGATGTTCTTCTTAAAGCTAACTAAGTGGTTTTGCTGCCTAAACATAAATGTGTTGTTTTTTTTTCACAGCGACCGTAGTGGAGCAGCATAGTTTGATGCACTAAATTAGTTCTAGAATGGATAAAAGCTAAAAAAAAACTAGATCCTCCAAATCCCACAATGCAACTAACCAGCATCTTCTGTTAAAATATGTTCAGGCAGAACAGTGTGTGCGTTATTTTCCTCACATCTCTGTATGTTACAGATAAACAACATTTGTATCTGTGTTCACATTCACGTCTTTCCATTGACTTCCTGTCTGCTGTCAGAGGAATGAGTTCCTCTCTCCGTCTGAACCCTCGAGGCTCCGGAGCTGCTGAGCCGAGCTTGAAACTAAAAGTTTAAAAATCATCCACAGAAACAGAACAAAAAGAAGCCCAGCTTGTGTCCACTTTGACTGATGAGGAGCTTCTTCTGTTCTTTACGTTTGAAGCTCTTTATTACTCATAAATATTACACTGTGACAGTGAAGTGCATTCAGCAAACACCTCTGGCTGTTGAGGTGTACGTGGTGTCAACAGTCCCGGTCGGCGTTACAGACATCAAAAAAAGCATTTTCTCCTTTTTTTGTTTCATCCCTAAACCCAAAAGAGTGGCAGAACATCGTCGTCTGAACCGGGTTTCTATCCTGTGATTCAACCATCATCACCCCGCTGTGAGAGTGTGTGTGTGTGGCCAGCTGGATTACCTGAAGCTCTGCTTAGATTTCATGTTCAAAGGACCCAACGTCTCTATTTTCAGTCCAAACAAGCGTCTGATGGTCTTTCTTTAGGTTCATAGTTCAGCTCCGACCATGTCCGTGTTGTTGTTCTGTCATCTCTTTAAATGCGTCTTCTAAAGACACACTCGACGGAAGATTGCGCGGCTGAGGAACATCGTTGTCTATTTTTTGTCTTGTGTATGAATAAATAATGTTATCTCTCATTTTCAATCTAAATGTAAAAAACAGTCAGTTCACCTCCATCCTCCTCCATCTCTTTTTTTATTCTCTGAGAATCCAATCCAAGCTGACATTTCCATCAGCACATCCCGCCGCGTTGACTAAGTGAAGGGCGAGTAAATGCTGAGCACTAAGACTCGGCTTTTATAGACATTCAATGAATGCTGAAGTGGAGATTTGCATTTGATGGAGACTTCTTTAAAGCCTCCTCAGACAGCGGGGAATCATCTTCCTCCTGACTGGAAAACCATCTTCGCCGGATGATGTTTCCTCCTCCCTGTGTGAAGCCTGTCATTACTGCAATATAACACTCCATCACACAGAGCGGCTGTTCTCCTGCAACACCGTGAACGTCTTCACCGCACCAATGGAAGGTTTCATTGAATCCTGACATCCAGCTGAGAATCATGATGATTGACATGTTATAAAAGGTTTCATAGGACGCAGGATATTAATGTGTATCATGGTTTACTGTTTGTAAAATCCCTGTTAGTGTCGTTTAATCCAGGGTCTGGATGAATGATGTCATTATGCATCACAGGGATGCACAACACAATTCAGTTGTAGCCCATTTTCAACACAACAAACACATGACAAACAAAACAAGGTTTATTCCTGTAGTGCTTTCTTTTTGAATTTGCATCATAATGAAAGTAAACAGCAGCAATACAAACAATCCTCTGAGCAGATAAGATGGTCGACATCTTCACACTAAACATGAGGAACTCTGACTGTTTGAGCATCGTGATGTGAACACAGACTCCTCCTCCTCTCCTCACTTTTCTTAATTCATGCGCTGACTACAAATACATCAGAATATTTTATTTCTGAGTGTTTTACTTTCAGCTCTTCATCCTCTAACTATTTTGGACGATGACATAACCAGATATCCAGCTAGTCCTGTTGTTAAAAACACGCTACTGCTTGTCCACAGTATATACAATGTTACTGACTTTGAATCTAACTTAACGTTAGCTTTATGCTAGCATAACGTTAGCTCTCTGGCTCGTAGCTGAGTTAAAGGGTTCAACTAGAACTAGAGGGGACTAGAAATATCTCCCGTCGCCGTGTGTCATATCTAAGGTCCGTCCTATTTACTGGAGCGGTGAACAACGTTTACATTGCACCAGAATGTTATGGGATGATTGATCCAGGTATTAGCGAACCCTCAGGGTTACCACGGACCAGTGACCATTATAATCGATCTACTATGCTCCTTAATGACTTAGAGAGAGCTTTAAGATGTGTTCAGTGTCTGAAAGTGTTTTAAATGATGATGTATCATCTTGTTTTTAATGCCTGTACCATTATACTGTAAATTTATCATTTTTAGATCCTAACCAGCGTCCGTACCGAGCAGACACTTAAATAAACACGACTTAGCAGCAGGAGGATCTGTAGAGTTATAAACATATAAACCCGCCAGCAACATCCAAACAATTTGAGTTTTTCCTGAGATTAAAAGTGAGAGAAAACTAGTTCAAGTGAGCAGAAGTACATTTTAAAATCACACAAACATAAAAGTCCAACTAAGATGAAACTTTATAGAAAAAGATTCAAGTCAAGCTCATTAGTTATAAACACTTAAAATATTGTCTTAGTGGAAATAGTCATTAATTTAACAACAATAAATATATTATATCTGTTAGCTCAGTGTGTGTGTGTGTGTGAAGCCACTTTCCGTCACCATTTTTTTGTGACTTTATGCTTTTCAGACTGTAGTGTTTCGTCTTTTTGCTCAGTTCGTTTGAAACGTTATTTCCTCTCAAGTGGTTCCAAATAAATATGGAATAGCTCGTCCGCCGCCTGCAGAGAGAAGAGACAGAACCAGACTCAGAACACGAGAAGTATTTAAAAACACATCTGAAATCTGTTTGAAACAAAAAACACAGTTACGTTTATTTAGTTGGACTCCGTCTTTATTCCAGAAGAGAAGCTGCCGTTTAGTTAACTTTATTTCACTGAATCAACTATAAGCAACGACCCTAAAACACAAGGCATTGTGGGTATTTTTAGGCTTCTCCCTCGTTTTGTTCAGAATAGCAGCAACATTGATCTGTAACGAGTCGTTTATATCTGATTCAGGTGCAGCTTTCACCAGTCCGTTTGAGAGGAATAATAATTCATAGACAATATAATTATAAACAAATATGTATTTTAAAGAATACATTTTATTTTCTGTAGCGCTGTAAAAACTGAAAATTAACTGTGGCTTGATTTTGAACACAACCTGTTAATGTTAATTCATTTAAGTTGAGTTGAAAGAAGAGAACCTCGATTGTCACTTTCCAGGTTGATCTTCTTCAGAATAGTTTGTTTCAAACTCGTCCGTCTGTAGCAGATAAATGTAAAAGTACTTTATTTTAAATTGGAGCTTTTATTCATTCACAGAGAAACAAACAGCAGAACCGATGCCCAGAAATAAAGAAATAATGAATAAAGAAGAATATTAATCAAAAAGGTAGAAAACACACCTGTGCGTCTGCAGAGGGATCCTGTATGAAGCCAATTCCAGATAAATTACTCGACTGTTAATGATGTTTATTGGATGAAGGTGTCGAGTTGCCCCGAGGGAGACACACTGACTGGATTACATTCCATACATAAAATCTAATTAGACTTCATCTCTAACCTCCAGCAGCGCTGCAATTATCCAATTAAAGCTCTGCCGTTATTAACGTTTCAGTCGACGGCGTCCTGACAGCAGCACGTCTGTGTTCATCCGGTAACAATGTGCACAATTAATATGAAATTAATGTGAACATCAAGAGGAAATCCAATTCCAACATATTAAACATCACGTGAGCGATTCATCCCGCCCCACTGAGAGAACGGGATGTTCTTATGTGTCAGTTTGAGCTGCACGATGAGGTCTTCAGTGAACCTGAACCTCCGGGTAGACCCAGACCTCCCTCTAAATCCCTGACGGGTCCCATCAGTGTGTCCAAACAGCTGCTGCACTAATGCGTTGTGTGTCACCTGTCATTATAATAAACAGCTTGTTAGTAGAACCACATGTTCAGTCAGAGCTCATCAACACTTAGTGACACTCTCACTTTATTCAAACTGTTGTTGCTTCTCAGTCAGAGAGATTTGTCCTGATTCTGTTTCCACGACATTATTTCTGTCAGATTGGAAGTTTTTTTTAACACATGTAAGCCTTAAAAATGTATTTCAATATACTATATATATATATAATAATAAATAATTGATATATGTAAAATATATATTTATACATTATACAGTATATAATATATATATATAATATATACTGTATATATATTTAAACAATCTATGAATTATTAAATATTAGAACATTTTAATATTCGTTGAGTGAATTGCTTAATTGATCTAAAATCATGTAGTCACATTTTTATATACATCCAAGTAACACAAAAAGTCCTGAAAACATAAACCATCAAAGACATTTCCATAAATATCCATTGATTTCTGTTAATAAAGAACACGACTCATATTGTACATGATGGGCTTTTAAAATTCAATCATAATTTTTCAGAGCGAGCTTCAAATGAATCTTGTTTTCTTTTCACCTCTACTTTTGTTTATTAGAAAAATCTATATTCTTGCCGGTGTTTGTTTTGATGAAATGCTGCTGCTGTTGTTTCTTATTAAAATAAGAAAAAAACAACTGTGTGTTGTTCAAACATCTCAAGGCAGCTGGAGAAAATAATTATTTGGTCTCGTGGGTGTCGTTGATTAAAAACCGGTCTCCCAACTCTTCAGAGTTCTCAGGCTTTAACAAAATACCTGAGAACAGTTTATTGCCACATATGTTCTCATATGAAGAAATGAGAGATTATAGTTACAGCTTTCAAACCATCGTGAGCAGAACAGGTTACCTCACAGTTTGGTTGTGTTCGGTTAAACTGGAGCGGATTCTTGGCCAAATCTAGTGTGTGCCAACACTAAACAACTCAACAATCAGCAGCTCAACTTATCAAACTCATGACCGAGATGTCCAGAAACAAAGACACCAAACTCCTCACTCGTGGTCTTCGTTGTCCTCCAGGTCGTTCCAGGACTTGGCACGGCAGATGGACGTGGACTACGGCACCGTGAGGGACTCGGCGGTGTACGACTACTTCAGGAACAAAGGTACCAACCCTCTGGAGCAGGACAGCACCTACGCAGAGCTGTGGAGGACCGTCAGCAAGAGCAACGGCATGGACTTCTCCGTGTCCAGCCCGTCTGAGGGCATACGCAAGGTGAGTGTGTGTGTGAATTCCCCATGGAGAAAATTACATTTAATGTACTCTTGTGATCAATCTTTAAAATGTGACTTCAAAATGTTTATATATGATTAAAGATTAGATAAAGTAAACTTGTTGCTAATACTGCAGTCCGTGATATAAGTGCATGCAGCCAATTTATTTTTGATTTGTAGTTAAAACATAATTATCATTCAAAGTTTCCACAATGATTTTTATGATATTGGTATCACAGAGAAATGTCCAAATACTGATAACACTAAAGTTTAATTATCCATATTGTGGTTAAAGAAAGACTGAAAGAATAGTTCCACTACGTATTGAAGTCCCCTCTTTGATAGGTAGACGTCACTCAGAGATGCTAGTCCCCTCTTGGCAGTTTCTTTAAAAAAATCAAAAAGCACATTTGCAGTAATATACTGTTTAAAGACCTTAAAAGTACATTTTCTATTCCATTTGACTTTTTTTTCAAAATGACCAGAAACACAAGTCCAGACTTGGTTAGAATAGCATGACGGTCCACTGTTGGTAAGGTAGGAATAGTGTGTGTGCGTGTGTGTGTGTGTGTGTGTGTGTGTGAAGTGAGGTAGTGTTACCTAAGTTATATAGCGTCAGTTCAAATGTGCCTAAAAATCACCTCATTCATAAGTAAAATCAAAAAAATCAAACTGACATCAACAAAAAAACATGGACGTCATGAAGAATAAACGACTCTCCTCGTCTCCTGCATCAACGACACACACACACACACACACACACACACACGTATATATGAATTATATTTGCATTTGTAATCTTCTTGTTTGAGACTCTGAATCTTGTTTGAATTGTGAGTTAATGAGCCGGTCTGTCAGTCACAAAGTGTGAGATGTGAAGTGTGTTTTCACTGATTCATGATGATTTTCACAGGTTGTTTAGTGTGTGTGTATGTGTGTAGATAGAGCTGTATTGTCAGCACACACACACACACACACACACACACTTGTTTTATTCACAGCGGGCAAACACACAAAGACACTCCTCTGTTTACCCATTACTTAATTGTAACAGCGGTGTCACAATACACCGATTGGTGAGGCTGAGTGTGTGTGTGTGAGAGTGAGAGAGTGTGTGTGTGTATATATGTGTGTGTGTGTGTGTGTTTCTCTGCTGTACATAATTATGCTCATAGTTCTCCCAAAGAGCCGATGATAAACTAGCGTTGTAGAAGAATGGGCTCTGAGGCGTCCATTAGTGAACTCTCTCTCTGTGACGTCATCTCTGCTCTAAACGCACTCACACGTTCTAATCAGTTTTATCGATATTGTCGAGCACTTTCTTTTCCAACAGTCGCTCGGCTTTTGTTTTGGATCAGAGTCACAGATCAGATCAGCACAGACGAGAAAAGGAGCAAATATAACTTGATATTAGTAACCGATCATTGATGATCCTTATTAACAGATACAGATCTGTGTGTTGTTCCACAGCTGCTCTACAAGGATCCAGATTATTTATTATTGATATTTCATCTACTCTGAAGTCAGTAAACCATCAAAAGTACTAAATGTAATTTATAGAGTTTTTTCTTTAAAAAAAACACACAATTTAAATGATAATGAAATGAAAGATTGTAATTTTATAAGAATTATTATCTTTAATGCTGTATAATAATGTGTTTATAGCTCGTGTTATGAAGGTAAACAGCTCATAATTCATCTCTAATATCTATTTTATATTCATGTGAAAACATCTCCTTCAAACTACTGGATTTATTCAAGTTTATCACCAAAACTACATTTTACAGATGACATGTGAACACATCATGATAATGTTATAATGCACCTTCAGCCAGTACTCATGTTCACTGAGCAGAGCCTGAAGGCATCATCATGTAACGGAAGTGAACCTCCGTTGGTTAGCCGTTAGCGGTGTTGCTGTTACTAGCTCTCCTCCTATTGGTTAGCCATTAGCGGTGCTGCTAACGTTACTAGCTCTCCTCCTATTGGTTAGCCATTAGCGGTGCTGCTAACGTTACTAGCTCTCCTCTGATTGGTTGTTTACAATGAAACATGATCAGAGATCGGAGACTAGAAACAGAAAGAGGACGTGATGAAGAAGCTTCTGTGTTGGACTCGTTCATTTTATATTTTCAGTTACAGTTTATTTTACACTTTTATTCATCGTTCCTATCGTTAATAATAACAAATATTATGTCTGAGATCTGTGTTCAAACAACAAACTTTATCCAACAGTGAAATGATCCTCCTGTCTGATTTGACCCTTCTTGCTTGCTGTAGTTGTGCTCAGTTTTCCTGATGAATAATGAGACACCCCGTTGGTTTTTGACTCGTCAAAGCATTCGTTTCGTGACGACATCGTGTTCTCAGCCCTCAGATATTAACGCGTCGATGTTTTCACTCACTGATAAACACTTAATGGACAAAATACTCCCAGAATTTACCCGTAAGAGTATTTTCTGCCACTTTGAGTGACTTTCTTACTAAAAAAAAGATATTTTTATTTTTGCCTCATAAATCTGTTGTGCGGGCAAAAAGTTATTCTTGTTTGGTATGACTCATTTCACACAATTCATAAATGTCTCCGATTGTCACACCTATGTTGTGTTCTTTAAGAACCAGCTGAACATGCAGGTTTCTGTTCGTTGAGCCGTACTGACTCTAGATCTCCTTTCATTCATAAAAGTCTCGTCGTGTCGTCACGTAGCTTAGCATCTACGTTACCTGGAGCGAGAATAGAAACACTCACTTCTTCCATGATGAGAGGTGAAACACAAAGAGCCTGCAGAGGCTAACAGCAGAAGGCTACGAGCTAATTAGGGCTGTAACAGCAGGAACAGATCAAGTCTCCCTGTTTCTATACGAGGAGGGTGTGTGTGTGTGTGTGTGTGTGTGTGTGGAAACAATTACCAGAGACAGCGAGCAGGTTGATGTGCAAACTGCTGACACAGTGAAAAACCCTCATCCACTTACTTTCCCCCCCGCTGATGCTTTTATACGGGCGTTATTGTCACCTCCTCCTCCTCCTCCTCCTCACAGAGGGGAGGACGCACCTCCTTTGATAAAATGGAACACGAAGGACAAATACAGCATGTATACAGCAATTCATCGAGAAACAACAATGACGGGAAACTGAAGTGACAGTCGGTGTTAGACGGTAGAGAATATCTGGAGCAGTGCTTTTATTTTGAAGCTCTGTTTTCCAGCTTCTACGTGGACGTAATTATGGTGCGAGAAGAGCAGGAAGTCATTATGCAACAATACAGGAAGGAACCAATGACATTCAGCTGTAGCAACAAACAACAACAGCAAACACATGAGAAAGTAAACAACAACAGAAGAACATTCCTTTAGTTCATTGTTTTAAATCAGCATCATCAGATAAAATGGCCGACATCTTCACATGAAGAACTCAACATGAGGAACTTTACTGTGTTTGAGTCCTCCTCCTCTGGTCCACCAGAGGCCTGCTTGATCCTGGACCACCATGGATCCAGGTCCCTGTGAAGACGTGGGCTCAACAGTCACCGACCTCCCCCTGCTGTCAGACAGGTCGTAGCCTGGGTACACCTGCGTACACCTCAGGTCATAGCTGGGTTAGCTTAGCATCTCTCCTCCGTGGACGTTAGTTTGGTGTCGTTTGGTCCGGCAGGTCTCGCTCGTTGGTCGGCTGCTTTTAATCTTCACACTTCCTGTTGTGACGAACACGAAAAGAACAACATGTAGAGAAAGTCACGGGAGCTACCGGCCGCTCATGAGCATGCACCACTTGTAGTATAATGTAGTATAATTCTTCTTCTTCTTCTTCTCTCAGGCGAAGAAGAGTCCGTACGCCTTCCTGTGGGACATGGCGGTGCTGGAGTACGCCGCCCTGACGGACGACGACTGCACCATCACCGTGTCGGGGAACGGCATGAGCAGCAAAGGCTACGGCATGGCCATGCAGCACGGCAGCCCCTACAGAGACCTCTTCTCTCAGAAGTAAGTGTGTGTGGGGGGAGGGGCACCAAACCTCACCCGGAAAGAAAGGACGCTCTGAACCCTTTTTACCTCCGGTCTGACATGTTTACACGGAGCTCCATGGTGACTCGTGATATGTTTAGAACATGCCTTGCGGGCGACTCGCGTGGCCCCCGCGGGCGACCAGGTGCCCGCGGGCTCCGTGTTGGCTCCCTCTGCTCTGGTTGTTTGTTTGCTTCTCGGACGCTCAGGAGTTTTAACGTTGACACCACTTTGAACACTTCTCAGACGTTATCGTCGCCTCGATGTGTTCGAGTGTTGAAGATTAAAACGTTTCAGCCTCTTCGTTGCTGAAACGGCGTAAATGAGATTTTGTAGTTTTATTTATAGATCAGTAAACGTTTGAATCTGTTCATGCGTGAAGTTTATTAATAAGTTAAGTTACATAAAACACACGAGTGATGCTTTAACTACATTTTATGATTGAAGAAATGCAGAAAGTTATTTGTAATGGAACAGATTTGATGAGACAGCACATCTTATGTTGTTAGCTCTCTTCCTGCTCCATGCTCGTACTAAACCTGATGGCTGCTGTGTTTGCAGAAGATGTTGGAAACACAGACAGAAGCTTTTCTTCTCTTGTCAGCTAACAAGTTAACGATGAAGCTTTGGGGTCTTTTGATCCTCTTTGTTGGCGTTAAGTCTTCATTATCAGCCCGTAAATTCCTGCGGAGTGAGCTAGGAGTCCGTCTGAGGCTGTGACCGCTGGCTTCATGTCAACGAGGGGCCACTCGTCGGATGAGAAGTGTCACGCTGACTTATTTCAGACGTGATGGGGGGGGGGTTAAGCGTGAGCAGAGGAAACGCCTCTCCTAAATCAATAAAAACGCTCCTCGCTAGAAGTCAAATTAAGCTCACATGAAACGAGCTCCAAGCAGAACGGATTATTCACGGTGCGATGCGTCGACAGAGGGACGAGATGCTAATCATTCCATCTCAAAGGCTTCAATCTTTTATTCTTTATTTTAATTACGTCCTTCGGTCTGAGTTTTGGAGTGAAACATCGTCTCAAAACACAAATTGATCCCGGTGCGAGTTTTTAAAAAGGAATGGTGTCGATCTTTTAGTGAGTCTCCACATGATTACATCATGAGGTAACGCATAAGCTCCTCGAGATCACAAGACCTTCTCATCCGTCTCGCATCGATCGGCTCCCAGAAAGCAGACAGGAAGTTAGACAGAAACACCCGTCGACCTGCTGAACGGGGAGACGTTAACGTCTAACAAACGTAGTTATTCATGATGAGTCTCGGCTGATCAACAGCAGTCCTGTCATCGCAGGTCTACTCATGTTAAGTAGATCTGAACTGACAACAGGTAATCTCCACAATATTGTGATTCACTCAAGCATGCAGATTTTAAAATACTGAACTCGTCCTTTAAAGCTGAAGAGACTTTAGAAGTTGAGGAGTTCCAATGTTAGCAAACTATTTGACCTTAATACTCAGATATTCTGGTCAGCCGTCACAGGAAACGGCTTCATCCGGCTTCCTATTAGGGAGTTTCATTTGCGGTTTGCTGAGTTTCAATGAAGGAGAACTTCTCTGTGTGTGGCGTCCGGCTCAGCAGGAAGTGAGAGCAGCTTTCCTCACAGCAGTGAGCAGCTCCGTGATTCGCCGTGAATCAGCCGGGGCTCCGAGTCCCGAGGAGCCGCTCTGAATGAAAAGCCTCTGAACCGGCCGTGTGAAGTCGTAAGGAGGGCAGCGATTACTCAGCAGCAGGCCGGGGGGGGAACCCGTTTGATGTCACGCCAACACAGAAACCCGCCGTGTCACTTCCTGTGAAATCTCTTGATTGTGAGATTTAAGCAGCAGCAGCAGCGTTAATAGAGATGTTAACATGGAGCACTGCTGTGCTGCTAGCTGGTGTTAGCAGAGCAGCCGGGCTGAGGGGGAACCGGGCTCTCTGAGGCTGCGTGGGACGGGGACGCCTGGGGGCCCCTATAGAGCAACCGCACACCAAATAAAATGTAATTTACACCTCCTCCTCCAGCCGAGCGTTCTCTTCCTCCTCATCCTCCTCCTTCCTCTCTGCGTGTGATCCTCTCTCATCCTCTCGGCCATGCTCAGGAGAGGGACATCCTGTTTCTCGGAGCTGCTCTTTAAAGCTTTGAACGGACGAGAGTCCACGTCAGATCACCTGGGGGGGGGGGGGGGCTGCTGTGTCAGGACAGTTCTGCTTCCACACACCGGATTACACATGAAACAATGACTTCCTGTCAGCTGTACACGGCTGTTAATGTCCACACAAGGTGGACAGTGATGCCCTTTTTATAACAAGGGCATCGATAGTGATTGTTATACAGGAGACAACCTCCAGTTCTTTAAGAGAAGTCAAAGCTTCATGTGTTAAAGCTGCATTCTCTCTAGTGT